ATAAGCGAGCGCGAAGAAAGAGAGAAGGGGTTCGTGACTTATCGTTGGTCACCAGCTAACATTAAAGATTGAGCAGCCTTAGGTTTGTTGCATACACATTTATAGTCGCTTATAGCGTTTTTGATTTGTTGACTTGACTCTGAGTCTATAATCTATTCTTTTTAACTGCGTTTCTTGCACAGTTTAGCTATTCCTTTATATAGCTAAAATTAAAGAAGAGACCATCGACTCAGAGTCGGGTCGAGTCAACAAATCAAAAAAGCTGTTACTCGCCGAGCCCACAGCATTGTTGAATTATAGCTTTGTCTTCGCGTATAATAATATCAATATAATGAGGCATTTTTATAAGATTGTAAAAAAATGCGATACATGTGTCTGATGACGCGGAGAATCACGGACAATTTATGATCAGTACGTACTTTGCAACTACAATTGGCACACAATTAATATTTGATTACGTATAACAAATCATTTATGATATGATTTTGAGTACAAATAAACCGTATGTACTTGGGAGAGCGATCTCCCAAGCACTTGCGCGCCACATCTTTAATTCACATAAATTGGACAACGCGAAAATTATTATAGCGATATGCGATATCTCAACATTATTATATTGACGTGATCGAGGAGAAATATCCCACTGGAATTAAAGTAGTCGATACTGACAATACAGTAATGTTGCTGCTAGATGGAAAATCCAAGATTCGAACTCATGATCCAAATTATCGGCAACTTTTACAACAAGAAACAAGGATTGCGAGTTTTTTTATTTCAGAGCGAACATCATCGAAACTACAAAAAATTTAAAAAAATCTTTTAATAAAAGTTAAATGGCTTTAAGAGTACTTTATAATTATAAATTAAAACTTTTTTAAATTATAAAAAATTTTAATTCCGTGATTATAAAAAATAAAAAAATTTTTAAATTACAATATATAATTACTTAATTATAATTAATCAAAAAATATAGCCGTGTTTATATTATTTTTTTAATAATTTACAGTTTAAGCATATTAAAATATTTGGAATTTAAAATTCGTACAATTTACGCCTACTTTGCAAGGCTATCTATACTTTTGGCTTCAAGTAAACTCTATTCATGTATTTATGATCTAAGTGAAAAGCGCAGAATTTTCAAAGCTCACTAACAGACTCGAGATTATTCTTTTCAGATCAGACTCGTGATGGGGACACCTGAAAAGATACTTAAGGAAGTCGATCTTAAAACAGAAAATAAATTCCTTAAAGATCAAAAGAATAAGCTTGAGGAACAATACAAAGAAATGGTGAATAAATATAACGAATTGGAAATAAAGAGCATTAAAGATCAAGAAGCCCTTAAGGAGAAAAGCAGCTCGTTGGATAAAGCTTGTTTAGTACTGAAGCAGGAGGAAAAAAAACATCGGATAGAACTACAGAAAGTCAGAGAAAATGCGAACAAAGAAAAGAAGAACCTTCGAGAAGAAAAAGGGAATTTAAAGAAGCATGTGGTCCGGTTGCAGAAAGAGATTCATGAGATTAACAAAAAATATAATCAATGTCTTCAGGAGATTAATAAATTGCAGCAGGACATGATAAAGAGCAAAGATGAGATTATCGAGTGTAAAAACAAGGTTAACATGTATCTAAATTTAAGAGAGTATGAGAAGAAACTTTCCAAGTGTCAAATTGCAAAAAGTAATCTGAATAAAGAACTGGTAAGTAGATCCTTAATTAATGATACAATAAAGATTATAATGAACCAATGTGAAAATAGCATCGGTACATATTATGCGCATTTCGTGTTACTATTGAGCTCTCATTGGCTGAAAGTAAAAAAGTAGCCGTAGGAAATGAATTTCAACTATAAATGCGGCGTTTACAATAGGCAGTAGTAGTAATGGATTAAAGAGTAAGCGTTAGGAGTAAGATTAATGTTTCCTTATGTCCGAGTATCTACAATGACATATAAATAAAGGTTATATTTAATAAACCAATGTGAAAATTGCATCGATTCTTATTGTGCGCATTTCGTGTTACAGCTACTCTTATTGGCTGAGAATAAAAAAGCCGTAGGAAATGGATTTCAACTATTTCGCATACGGACTTACTCTACGTTCTATTACATCGAAAAATCAGCTTCCTCCGACGTGTTACTCCTTAATCAATTACTGCTACTGCCCATTGTAGACGCCGCTTGATCAGAGTTTGAAAGTGATTCTGGCAAAGAAAAGAAAAAATTTACAATGGCGTGAGAATATTTTATTGTACCTTACGAGTTCTTTACCTTCGCGTTCTGCTAGCGTTTGCTAAAAAAATCAAGGAATGTAAGCTAGCTGCCGAGAACTTCTCGGCTAAAGCAAAGACAGTTTACTTCGTAACTTACAATGCGGTAGATCGGTTTTCATCAGCGGAACGGGAAGATCGGTGGACGATGGAATAGAATAAATTGAGTTTTAGCCGGCTTTTTATATTAGCAAATTCGGCGCTTTGGCAATCTTTGATAATTGTCAATATAAATTGTAGCACGCGGGTTTTCCGGCAGAGATACGCAAAGCGCAATGCTCGATGGTCATGCACTAAGTCCCCCGTATATGATTTAAATGTAAAAGGGTAACGAGCGCTTCGCGCCGTTTTTCGTCCGACGAGTGTTCAGTCAAGCGACATCCGGTTGTCCTTTGCCAGGAACAATGCGATTCTCGAGGCACATGATCGTTACACTCTAATTCTCACTCTATGTTTTTTTAATAAAAAAATTAGTTTAACTTTTGATTCACTGTCAATTTTACTTTTTAGAAGACAAATCAAAGGTACTTTGCCGAATCTGAGGCACTGAATTTAAGAGGAGCACTCAACTTTTTTGAGAAGGAAATAATGTTCTTCAATGATGATGAAAGAACAAGAGGTGAAAAATGGCAGGAATTTTGGAAACAGCGTGAACACAAAGCATTACTTAATAAATTACAATTCTCTGGCGATGTAAAAAACACTGTGTGGAAGATATTTAATAAACTAAATGGTGAAGTTCACCAAACTTATTATAAAGGAAAACAAGTTCACATAAAGAAGAGCTCATTTTTTGGTAATGAATTATCGTTAATAAAAGCTATTTGGCAGTGTGGAGAGCTTGGACAAAGAACTCTCATTTGGGCAGAGACTGGAGATGTGATTGTATAACTACTATAATTTTATTAACTTAAAACACAGGCTAATAAATGCTTTGTTAAATTGATTTGAAGTGAAACACAGCAGTGTTTGTCGAATCAGTCAATTGCTATCGAACATACACTGAGAAAAAAACATTTTGTATTTGAAGCTATAATTGCATGGTAAAAAAGTTATGGTTAGGAGCACTATTTTTATAGTTATTAATACTATAATGTTAGTAATAATAACCTTATATGTATAATCTTACTAAATATGAAACAATTTTAAATTATAATAATTTCAAATATAATATAATACAATTATAGTAAGTAAATATAACTATTTTTTAAATATTTGCTTACTATTTATATTGTAATAATAACTAAAAAAATAAGTAAACAAAAAATAATAATATTAATCATAATGTATTATATAACCATAAGGCATTGTTAAAGCAGCTATAATTTGAATGGTTAAATTAATTATAATATTATAGTTGTCGTCAAAATTGACTATAAATTATGATTTAGATTAATTATGATTTAAATTATGGTTATTCCAACTATATTTTTCTCTCGATATATATATAATATATTAAATTTTTTTTCTTAAGCAATGTTCACATATCTTTTGAAGACGAATTTCTTTATATCTAACGAATTTTTAAAAATATGTCAAAAATGGAATAATTTGACATCAAATACGTACAAGCATTTCTATCCTCTATTTCTATCCTTATTTTTATTCTGATCAATTTCTATCCTCCTTACTTATATTCTCTTTTAGTATAAATTAATATTATTAATAAGAAACAAGAAAAAGAGAGAAAGAAAGAGAGAAAGAGAGAGAAAATGACTCCCAAAATTAACATTAATTAATTATTGATATTAAATATATGTACATTAGCGCTAACAAATTACACAATGATAAGTAAATAATAGTTCAGACGTAACGACTTTATAACAAACAGTCATAATCAGTGACAATAATATAAAATGCAATGATAAAAATTCTTTATGCTCGTACGTGCTTCTTCGAGTTACAAAAATTCTATGAATTGCATAATAAATTGTATGTTTAATACTTAATTGTTATCGTTGTTGTAACACATATTCCTCTATAAGTGTAAACATTTCTTTGAAATAATTGTTAAATTGTCGAGATTTATTATTTGATATTATAAAGGTAAGCTATGCTTATTACACGTAATTGTTAATTTCAGTTTTGTTAAATTAATCATTCTAAATGTTCATATACATTAAATTTTATAGTCAATAATATATAATTTTGTCAATTCCCTTTTGTTCCTACAAGAGTAGTAAATGTAACACATTTAAACTTTACTTTTAATCCATTATATGTCACAGAAAAAAAAATCTCTTGCATGAGATTCGTTGAAATGACAATATTGAATACAATATATTGAGTGCAATATCAAGGAATATATTTCGCGTATTTCGAGGCTTGATTACAAGCTTACATTTCTCACATAATTGGCTTTATGTATCCGAAGTATACACACACAAAAAATTTATTTCCGCACGCTGCAGAATTCCTACACATACTTCCAGTACTGCAACATTTATAGAAGGAAGAAGTATAATAAACATTTTTGAATTTCGGATAGATAGATTTGGAGATAATTAAATTACAAAAAAATTATATAATAATTAAAACTTATATTAAAAAATTATAAAAATTAATGAAAAAATGATTATATGTATACATTTAATTAAAAAAATTAATAGAAGAATAAGAATTATTAAATATACATTTAATTAAAAAATTAATAATTAAAATTAATGTAATTGGTTCCAAAGATATAAAATCAATAAGAAAGAGTATAAGGTCTAATAAATCTGACTGGATGTCCTTGTCAATTATATAAACTAATAGGTGCTTAATGAACATGAAAATAAAATTAAAATCGTTTCGAACTTTAATATTATTTTCAGTGAATATACATTATTTAAACGAATTAAAACTAAAAATGTTATATATAATATTCAACGATAAAACAGAAGTTAATATATATATTATTCACGCTGATTAAAAAAGTCGATGGATTTTAATACGCAAGTCGTCAAAGATGTAGAGAATATTTGTAACATAATACTTAAACATAGATGATGTCGCAAAAGAACGATTGTAGTAGCATATCTACGGAGATTCCATGAGTAATAGGTAATCCAAAATACTTAGAATTAACAGGTCAAGGAAGTTTCCAGGAATTCTATAGAATATCGATAAGAAAATCGATCTGTTAATTCTAAGTATTTTGGACAACCTACTGTTCATGGAATCTCCGCAGATACGCTTCTACAACCATTCTTTTATGACATTATCTATGTTAAGTATTATGTTACAAATATTCTCTTTATTTTTAATGTATGCGTATTAATATCCATCGATTTTTTTAATTAGCGTAAATAATTTGTATATTAACTTCTGTTTTACCGTTGAATATTACGTATGACGTTTTTAGTTTTAACTCGTTTATAAATAATGTATATTCATTGAAGAGGACCATATTAAAGGTCGAAACGTTTGATTATTTTTATTTTTATGTTTTGTTCATTACGCATCTATTAGTTTATATAATTAACAAGAACAGTCAGGCTCGTTAGCTCTTATATTCTTTCTTATAAAAAATTAATATAAAGGTAAAAATTATTAAATAATTTAATTGCTATTTACAACAATCACTGTCCAGAATACCGTTGAAATATATATCTTTATCTTCGTGTATAATGATATCGATATAACGAGGCATTTTTATAAGATTGTAAAAAGATATGCGATATATGTGTCTGATGACGCGGAGGATCACGGACAATTTATGAGTACATACTTTGAAACTACAATTAATATTTGGTTACGTATAAACAAATCATACACTTACGATGTGATTTTAAGCGCGGATCAAAATCATACATAGATATGTGGGAAAGCAATAAACCTGCGCTTGGCATCTTTAATTCACATGAATTGGACAACGCAACAATTAACTAGAGATATACGTACAATATCTTAACACATTTATATCGACATGATTGAGAAGAAATATCTCATTAAAATTAAGGTAATCGATATTGACAATAATGTTGCTGCAAGATAGAAACCTAATGTAAGATTTGGATTCATGATCCAAATTACCGACAACTTTTACAAGATACAAGGATCGCGAGTTGAAATTTGTTTATGACAGTCAATCAGTACCAGTTGGAAGTCCTTTGCGTAGAAAAATAAAATTTCAAATTCCCCCTCCTTCCGTCTACCTCAACTATCGTTATCTTGTCGATTTGATGAGTACGGATATTTTGCGCATTGCAGATTAATATTACAAGCTGTGATAACATGATAAGAATTTCGAGAAATTTAAAATGTCTTTACCTTAATTGTGTCCTGTCGCAAAAGCAATACATATACCTTGTATTTTTAATGATTTCTTCTTTAATCGTCATTCCTTAGTCGTCCAATTAAATAGATAAGAAGGTCTGTTTTTTTCGCTATCATTAACAATTAAACACTTATTCATCCTTATTTAGCTTCTTTGCGATATTACAGACGTTATCGATAAAGTGCGAGCATCTCACAATATTAGTAGTAATTATGATAACGTATGATATTGTCATCGCCGTCAACGTTGTATTAATTGCTTTCGACGAATTAAAGTGATTTTTTTTTTAATGTCAATATGCCGTATTTTCTTTTATATCAAAATATAATTTAATCTACTAAAAATGAATAAAGCAATAAAATTAATAAAAGATTTATTTGAAATGGACGAGAGAAGCGACGGCAGCGGCAGCGGCAGAGTATCTTTTCGCGGACACTTTGCTCCTATGACATCATCTCCCTCCCTGGGTACCCCGCACCACAGAACCTCCCCCTAGTTCCTACTCCGCACTCTCCGTACAAGTGCCTTCTTTATGGTTGATTGACATACGACGATGCCGACGATAAGAATTGCAATAAAGATAAATATTTATTTTAATGCACGAAAGATAAATATTTATCTTAATGCACAAAAGATAAATATTTATCTATGATAAAATAATCAAAGTCAAAAGGATGAAATTGATATATTATCTCACCCCCCCCCCCCGACTAAACTTTTTTTATGATAATCCACGAATATTATAACGTCACAATCTTTAAAATTCATTAGTATTATTTGTTAGATGATGTATAAAAAAATAGTTATTGTAACCAAAAATCAATGAAAAAAACAAAAGTTTCGAAAAAAAGGTATAATTAAACGTTACAATCGATTGTGCTCGAGTATTCTCTTATACGATCACAATATTTCCGTTTGCGATTATCTGAAAGTAGAATAATATAAGGCGGTTTCTAATTCGGGAGCTCCGTGGATGCGGAACAGAGGATCTGCGGTGCGGGGTATCCAGGAAGATGACGTCATAGTAGCAAGGAGCCTGCCACCTATTTCAAATAAATCTTTTATTAATTTTTAATAAATTAAATATATTTTAATATAAGATAAAATACGCCACCGCCACCTTAAATCTTTCATTTATTAAATTTTATTGCTTTATTTATTTTTAATAAATTAAATATTTTGTTATTTAGTTTATTGTTCGTTAATTAGGCTGAGTTAATTAGGATTGGTGCGGATGCGACGGAGCGATTGATTGATTTAAATCTTTGAGTCGGTTACAGTTTAAGTTTTATTCATATATCCTATATATTATCGAATAACGTATACATTAGTATGATCATTTATTCATATATCCTATACATTATCGAATATCTTATACATTAGTATGATCTCGTATACAGGATGTCTCAAAACTCTTAATTAATACTTGAAGATAATACTTAATTAATACGTGAAAGAAAATGAAATTTTGAACTAAAGGTTCCTGTATCAATTTTGGCTCACAATTGTCAGACCATTATTTACAAAGTTATTAACGAATAAAGTTAATCAATTAGATTGGGCTTACCGAAGTATGAAGGAGCGTAGCATGCTGTGCGGTGGTGCGGCTCTTCGCGATTACTTCTCTCGATAAAAATTTTATTCTAATTTTTCATATTAATAAATAAGCAAATAAATCAATCAATAAATAAGACAGGTAAATAAATAAATAAGTAAGAATAAATTACAGTTCAAAATTTATCTAATTTCTAATTGTTTTTATTGTTATTTATTATTTATTTATTTCCATGAGGAAATGTTTATCGGCCAGGAACTTATTAAAACTTTTACTTATTTATTAATAAATTTAGAATAAAATCTTAATCAAGAGAAGTAAGTGCGAAAAGCCGCACGGTATGATAAGCTGCTTTGTACTCCGGCTAAGTTCGATTTGATTGATTAACTTTATTCGTTAATGCCTCTCTAACTAATGGTCTGAGCCAAAATTGATAAGAAACTTTTAGTTCAAAATTTCATTCTTTTTCACGTCTTAAAATATTAGTTAAGAGTTTTGGGACACCCTGTATATCGTCGTATTCTATATTCTATATAAAACTATCTGTCTCGTTGTGCATAACTTTACATTTCTCGCGAAACTACGGTGATATGTAATGAAATTCGTACAAATATGTCTTGAATATGTCGAGAATACACATACACACGTATAGAATGGTTTGTCGAACTTCACTTCGAGTTTGTGCATTTCGATTACGACCAAATTTTCTAAAAAGACGCTTGGCTATAGAAATTCGGTTCCGCGCAATTATTTCCTCCGTATCTATACTTTCCCATTTTGTTAAGAGTTGCACATCGATGTGATTGCGCACGTTCTCCATGGTTTTACTGCATTATTCATCAATTTATACAAATTTTTTTTCTAAATTGTTCTTAGCTAGTGTTACGTCCGGTGGACTCCACGATTTCTCCGTTTGCGAACGTTCGCTCAGATAAAGGGCTTAGAATAAGATAAAAGTTATTGGTCATCAATTGGTGGACAAATATCGACTCAACGAGATCGACCGTTGTCTGTCTTCTTGGGAAGATTTATTTCAGGAAACATTTAGAAAGATTTATTTCAAATAACATTATAATAACGAACAAAAGAATGTTTCTAACAGAAGAATTTTGAAAACAAATAAAACCTTTTTTTCCGCGACAGTAAAATCCGATTTCAAAATGCGCCCGAGATCCATATGTTCCAAGATTAGAAAAATAAATATTATCTAGACATACCATCGCAGCGGAACTATAAAATCTTTCAGCCAAGGGTCGATGATTCACGAACCGGCACAAAGGGATGTAATAAAATTTAATCTCAAAACAAGCTCTAGATTTCTGAAATTTCGTAAAAAGGGAAAGTTATCCTCAGAAAAAAAGGTGATTTATCTGTTTTCAACTATTAAAACCCCAACCGGAATTCAAGACCTCAAGATCACTCAATAAGATGAGAAATTGATGACTAATAGAAATCCAGAAAAACAGTGCTTTTGTTAAGCAGAAGTAGGTATCCCCAAACTCCGGGATCGCGATAGGGGAACGAAGCCCCATTGGATAACCAATCAAACTAAAATCGAAATGGTGAGGGTAGCGTCTCACCGAAATCTGTAGCACCTCCAACCAATAGCTGTAAGACTTAACAATGTAAGGCGGAATGAATTACTTTAAACTAGATTAAGTGAAGGTTAACGAATCAGGAATAACCTCATCGATATCATCTTGCCAATCAGATTTTAATTCTTTCAACTCGAAACATCCCACATCCTTTGAGATTTCCTATATAAACCGGAAATTTTCCCGTATCGCTCTTTCAGACCGCTCAGCTCTCAGGCCGTTCAGATTTCAGACTTCTCAGATCGTCATCCGCGCTCAAGACATCACTCTCACCCAGAGTAACATCCTCGCTAGACATCGCCGCGAATCTTCACCCGCGAGTTCAGTTAATTGAAAAGGTGCGCAAGCGATCCGAGATACCGTGCAACACAGCCAAGGGCAGCGAACAACCGACGTCTCACCAGCAAAAAGTAAGTTTTCTCTTTTTCCTCACCCGAATAATCATTTCGAGACCCTCGGTGGTCTGTTCCGCGACCTGTCTCTAATCGCCCTCGGCATTTCAACTAGTGAACGGCAAATCCGTCTCTTTTCTCCGATTTCGCCGCGCCGCTAGGCTCAGGCCTCACGATTCAATTCTATTTTTCATACGACTATTTCTTCATGGCTCCCCCTTCCCTTATATAATTCCCGTCCTTTTTTTTACAATTTCTTTCCCCCTTCCACCGCCACGCTGGAGGAGCTCTCCGAAGAATAATGGCGACTTCATTAAAATGTACATATGTACATATAGACATATTTATCCGCTTATAATGTTTATTATCTTAGTAATTTCCGATATTCACTCCCCTGCTCATCCTCTTATATTCAAGTCAATGTAATCGTAATCTCAAATATTGTTTTAATTTCCGAATTACTAACCCCTTGAACTCTCGAATATGCACTATGAATTTTAATTATAACATTCTGTTGC